GAACCTGGTACTGAGGATTCAGATTAACGTGAGCCTTGTTTCACAGCAGTCTTTGAGGAAATCCCCCCATGTTACGTTCACATAAGCAAAGCTTTCACAGGATTGGATTTATCTGAGTTTAGAGGGTTTAAGGGGCTGGTTGCAAACTTCAGATTCCCCTCCACATTAGCAGCGAGGCACAGTCTGGTGAGTATCACATTTTTGGTTGAGCTATTGTTATTTAACAAAGGTTTAATTTGAGGCCATTAGAAACTATATTATGAAATCTAATTGGTATTTTTCTTTTGGTAACATGTTTAGGCACAACTATTTAATCAAACTGCAGATTCGCCTTTGGATTCATTAGTTAATCATTGGGTCTATAACATGTTAGAAAATAGTACCTCAAAGTCCAAGGTGATGTTTTTAAAAACCCATAGATATTCTGTTTCAATGTGACTTTTTATGTGGGTTAGGGTTAACCAACTATTCTATAAATCCATTGATTTTTGCAGCTCTTTATTTCTTGATCATCAAACATCATAAAACAATTAGATAAAGATATTAACAAAGCATGCACCTGTTTTGCTTTGTAAAGATATAAATAACCATGCTTAAGTCATCTAATACGGTTAAAAGTTCCTGAGATAGAAGCAGTGAGATTTGAAACTGATTTTTTTTTTTACATGTTCTCTTTGTAGGGGGGCTGTGGAGCGAGTTTAGGGTCATGGTGAGCGTGACCACGGTCCTGAAGGCGGTGAGCCTGTTTGTTGCAGAGCTCATCAGCTCCGTCACAGACTTGTTCCAGACCAAACCAGCATGGGCCAACCTGGAAGTGCTGGAGGACACAGAACTGAAGTCCACTGGGGGCAGTGAGTGCAAAAGCAGAATCAAACAGAAATTATTTACTTGTACATATGCTACATCTTTGCACTACAAAGTTGCACATTTTAGCATACAACTCCCTCTTTGTGTTGTTATTCTTCTATCGCAGCTCATGATGAAACCCTGGGGAAACCAAATAAGAGTGAAATTTGTACTAAAAGACTGTAACAACTTGATTGTACTAACTGTTTTAACAATCTGAACTTCTTATTATGAGGATAGAATGAAACAAACCTGCTGTCTTCACAAACAACACTTAAGACAAAGACTGCTCAAAATATAACTTTCGAGATATGTCTTATCTTTTGAAATTATGATTTCCTGAGATATCCCTTATGAAAAAAAGTCAGTATAATTTAGATTCAAATATACTATTTTGTCTCTTCAGTCCATGAGCGACACAGGGCCAAATCTCTGTGGGAGAAGACTGGAGCTGTGGTCATGGTTGTACGGCGACCCGGATGATTATTGTGTAGAGAGGTACGAAATAATTTGCCTGTTAGATATCAGTACTCTGTAGTGAATAAGTGATTCATTCATTCAATTTTTGTTCTATCTGTCCTTTCCTCTAGGAAGCTGCTGAGCTGTCCTCTCTGAAGTCCCAGCTGCAGGACCTTGAAGTCCCTCTGTTTGCCGTGGTAAAAGAAAACATTGGCAAAGAGCTGGATTGCTTCAAGAAGTCCTTCACTGGGAAAGTCTACGTGGATCTGCAGGTCTGCTTTTACACACGGCTCTGAGATAATAGGTGAAACACTAAGGGTTACGTGAATTAAGACAATAAGCTACTCTTTTTTTATTCTCATAGAGAAACTTCTACGGGCCTCAACAGAGGTCGATGTTTCTCTCCATGTTCCTGCGTGTTGGCGTGTGGATGAACATTTGGAGGGCCTACAGGAGGGGCTTCAGGGGAAACATAAGAGGTGAAGGACTCATCCTGGGTGGAGTCTTCGTCATTGGGCCTGGAGATCAGGTAAGCAGTCATTTACAGAATTAATATTTTTCATTAGGTTTTGAATGGGTAAATATTTGTTTTTCTTCTCCTGACAGGGTATTCTACTTGAGCACCGTGAGAAGGAGTTTGGGGATAAAGTAAATTTGCTGGCAGTGCTCACAACAGCCCGCAAAATGCAAGACGACTTGGCAAGATAGGCTTTGAATATGTGGATGAATGGACTGATTGTTGGTGAGCCCTTATGTAATAATGGTTGTTACATGTGGCCATTTGCATGTCTATAATCTCTAACCCAGGAGTTTTCACTACACAACAAAATAGCCTCTCTGCTCTGTTGACATGGTATATTTAATTGCATTGCCTTTGCTGAAAAGTTAGGAAGTTAAATAACTGTATTCAAAATGTGCGACTTTAACTGTTTATTGACCCACTGTCTGCAGTTATTGTCTTGTTTATGTGAAGATATGTTGTGTGTTTTAATGACGATCTGTTTCTAAACTCTGCTGAGAGAACAGCTCTGATGTTCACACATATCCTCCACATTTAAAAAGACAGTCTTTGCCTGACATAATGGAGATCAAACCTTTGGAGTGATTGAACACATTTTATGTTTACCATGAAATAAAATACCTAACCAGTCATGTTACTCTCTGTGTGTCGTGTTTTGCCTCGTCTTCTTCTTTTGCTGGGTGCCGTCTATTTTATTGATGCTTATATTTCTGCTAAGCAATCCTATCTTATATAATAATTTCCCCAAAACTACTATATTAATAATATGTGGTATTGATTTAGAGTCACTGTGATGGACGCTATTACAACATTGAAATGATCTTTTACTAAAATATTTATGTTTAATCAAAACATGAGTTATCTAAAAAGTTGTGCCACACAAGACACTTTAACTATACTTTCTTACATAATATTCACTTAAATGAGAATGTTAGCACGGAAGTAATGAAAATAGCATTGGTTTTGTGACCTTCAAACTGAAATGTATTGCTGGTTCCTAGTGAAACCTTGTGGTAAAAACAAAAGCGAGGGCTGGATGTGACTGCAGACAACTCAGAAATATATCCAATATCCAGAGGTGAAAGAAGTACTCAGAACATGTACTTAAGTAAAAGTAGAAGTAACAGAGTGTAGACTCTGTAACAAGTACAAGTCCTGCATTCAAAATGTTACTCAAGTAATAGTACAAAAGTATTGGCATCAAAATATACATTTACCAAAAGTAAAAGTAGCCTACTCATTATGCAGATCGGTCACATTTCAGACTTATATATGGTTTGATTATAATTATTGATGCATTAAAGTAGTATCTCAACATTGTAATTAAGTACAGTAGGCTACTTGAGTAGGCTACATCTACTTAGTTACTTTACACAACTGCAAATATCGAAACTAAAACTCACATAATCACAATTTATTCTTCCGACTAACCGTAGGCTTCAACACATCTTGTGATCTGAATGAAAATACCTTACACTTGACAGGGCTGATTATTTCCATCACTTGCTCCCCACAATCATCCATGCCAAGTGCCTTAGTCAAAGGTGAACTCTCGCCAGCCATCTTGCTCGATTAGTTTCCCCTGGTCCGTGGATCGTTTAGCACGCCTGCGCAAAGATCTGTTGTTTACTAAACGCTCCGTTGAGAGAGGCTTGTCACTTCATTGATTCTGGTGAGTGTGCATTATTATGAAACTACTCTTATAACTTGATATAACGGTGGCAGCATAAGATGCACCTGCTTAAGGAAGATCCGCTTCAGACACAGTGTATCAAAGGCTAAACTGGAAGCTAACCGCTATTTAATCGTCGTCACCGTGCCAACAGTAACTATAGCCACAGGAACTTTGTAGGCCACTGGCAGTATGTATTCATTATGGAACTATCATCAACATGACATCTCAGGAATGGTGAAATATTTCAATCCTATTCGGTTACAATTGAGTTTGAATTTCTAGAACCATCAGGTAATGTCATTGAATACACATGGGTAATATGAAGGTCATTTTCTGTCCTGTTTGTCATCCCGCAGGCTAAAGGGCTGGACAGGTTTAACTTGACTTCATCTTTACTCTAGTCTAGTGACGCATAGTATGTGTAGCAACGTAAATAACGACAAGTACATTTCCTGCTTTCAGAAATCATGTGTTAAGTACAAACTATTGTATTAAGCCAGAACAAACAAATACTAATAGACTAGGCCTAATGTTAAAAATAACAACACATTAATGACCAATAGAGTTGGGTATTTTGGACAATTAATTTATGTCTTGGGCTTGTTTAAACGAGGCAGCATTGTTCAGCTTTCGATGAACATAAGTAAAGCAAGCATCAGATAAGGACTGATGGTGCATTTTTTTTTTTTAAGTCCCTTATCTTTCAAGGCCAAATTATTATTATAGATAAAGGTTATATCTCTTGGTAAAAACATTAATTATTAAAAGTAAAGTTCATTATGCAGAATATTCCTCTTCAGATTTATATATTTTTAAATGTTATCATATTGTTATAACCAGAAGTGGGAAGTAACTAAGTACATTTACTCAAGTACTGCAATTAAGTACAATTTTAAGATACTTGTACTTTACTTGAGTATTTCCATTTTATGCTACTTTGTACTTCTACCCTACAATTCAGAGGTACATTGTGTGCTTTTACTCCACTACATTTATTTTGTGTCTTTAGTTACTTTAAAGATTTGGTTTAATAATGTGAAGTATAATCAACACTTAAATAAGACTTTAGTTACACCTGGAGTAAATTCTCAAGCTATCCTGCAGTATACAAAGTTATTAAAACTAGCTGCACCTTTACCAGCTTTGATAACACTTTAATGCATCAATAGTTATAATGAAAACATATAATATATATTATTCTGAAATGGACCAATCTGCATAATAAGTACTTTTACTTTTGGTACTTTAATTATATTTTGATGCTAATACTTTTGTACTTTTACTTGAGTAATATTTTGAATGCAGGACTTTTACTTGTAACAAAGTATCGGGCAGTAATAAATCATGGTGGCATTAACAGCCTTGAAACCTCCCCTTACCGCGCGTTCTGCAGACGCATCCAAGGAATCTAAACTTCCTGTAGTTGCAGGCGTGGGCGTCTATTGGCTGCTGCTGTTATCATATTTTCAGCCCTTTGTCCTCAGTGTTGTTACGTTTCAAAGCACAAATTCATTCACTACTTGAAACTGGATGAGCTCAATACGAGGAGAATAAGTTGTCCTTCTCACTTTGGAAATGGAGACACGTTAGTATATTCATTTCTTATATTTTCAATTAATTAAGGATAAAATATAGATGTTATACTACTCATGTTTTTTTGTGTAAATCTTTTAATATCTGTGCATGAATTTCTCATTGTTGCGCACTGTAAACCGACTTATATTTTTAATTAACTCTGTAATTTATGTCTTGACGTTATATGCACAAACGTAGAGCGTAGGGTGCAAGAATAGAAAGTTTGAAAATAGAGAACTCTCAACCCCAGTAAGATGAATAAGATAAGAGTAACACCTTTTATATATTCATGCTTTCATCGTTCGTTTTTATTTGCAGGTTTACATTCTTATTTTAAGCATATAGATAAAACTTGGCTCAATAGTTTAGTGGTCGGTGTAACATTTTATCTGGGCAGTCTTATGAAGAAATATGCAAGGTATTTCTCTCTTTAATCTGTGAAATCAGATGCAGGCTCCTGGAGAGTCGTGCTTCAGGTGCGGTGGATTGTATTGTCTGTAAACAATATGTGGCGGCACGCACAAGTAGTTTACATTTATTCGAAAATACTTTGTGTTTCTTTCTTTCAGTGAAATCTTGAGGGTGTTTGTAGTCAGAGACTTTTTCCTCGGTCCCGATGCTGGCTCTGTCCAGGTGTCCGGCAGCTTTGAGGTCCCTGCGCTGCTCTGCTCTCTCTCTGGGGGCCACGACCATGAGCAGCCAGCCCTCCACCACAGCCAGACCCCCGTCTCTAAGAACCCAGACAGCTCTGTTTCACCAAAGTGAAGCCAAAGCCAGTCCTGACACAAACAAGCCCTCTTCAGGCAAGGACATATTTGACTGCCTACACAGCTAGCTCTTCCTATAACCCAAACTTTAAGCATGTTGTAGAAACAAAGCTGTGACCTGAGCACAGCTTTGTTCTCTGTGAGCTCTGTGTGATTTCCTAATGGAAAAATAACAATTTAAAGTGGACCTATCATGCTATATTTGAACAATATATTGTAGGGCCATACCTATATAAAACATGTCTGTGAAGTTTTTTTTTCAAAATACCAAACAGATCATGCATTTTAGCCATGCCTCATTTCGCTCTATTTGCTCTTTTCCAGCCCTGTTTTTTGCAGGGGCTGATTCTGTGACGTAGCTTTAATGCAAATGAGCTGCAGCTGACCACTCCCCCCTGCAGGATAGGGGAGCGTGCTTTGAGATCAGCTGCTGGGCTGTCAGAAGAGGGGGAGAAAAAGAGAGAGTCCGTCCTCCGTGTTTTATTCTTATATGATTATATAGAGTCATTATTCATTTGTTTTAAAGCTCAATAAATAACAAAGAAGACCTTTGACCGGCACTTTTCTAATTTTGTCCGGAAAATGTTAACTTTAACGGACATCTTGACCGGCGAAAGAAAATCTAACTGAAACTCTGCCGCACGGTCCCCTCGTCCCTTGGAAGAGGCGGAGAGGTGGGTGTTTGTCATCTGCTGGTGGACTACCGGAGAGAATTACAGTGCTTGCCTCGACGGGGAGGGATTGCATTGAATTACAGCAGCAGGAGGCGCAAGCGCTTGCCTCGGGGAGGGAGAAAAAGAGCCACAGCGGAGAATAAACAGAAGGGCAACCATGCGCGGGAAGTCTTCTTCGCTGCTTTTGTGGCAGACTACAGCGCCACTTACAGGCCTGGCATATGTACTACAGCGTCTCCAGCGCTTTCGAGCGGCAATGGCCAGCCGTGGCCCAACCCCACATTCCCCTGATAGGTGGAGAGTTGGCCATATAGCCGTAGCGCCACTTCTGTGACGTCATAGAAGTGTTCAAATCTGGATCAGTCTGTATCAGATCCATTGCAGCCCCGTTTTTAGAGATTTGGGTATGGAGGAAAAGAGAGAGGGTTGTGTTTTCTGACACTTGGTGAGTTCCCTGGAACACCGGGGACACATATTCATGTATAAAAGACGTACAAAAGTGCATTTTGCATGATAGGTCCACTTTAAAGTACAATCGAAAGCCCACTCATCAAGAACCACACAAGCTGCAGTCAAAAATATAATTTACAGACTTGTTATCTCGTCATGTTGAACAGCATCTCATCTCCTTAGTATGTGCAATACTTAATCTCATTGGATGAGCTTTAGATAAGAGTAAAGTGAGAAGAGGCTTTGCTGGTAAAAGGCACCACATGCTCTCGTTCAACTCTACGCTGAAACTCAAGACTGCAAGCGGCAAGCTAGGTCTTGTTGAACTCTTGTCCTCAGGGAGTTCTGAGAAGGAGGGAACGTGGTAATATCTAATAGTCGGCACATCTGGCGCCTCAGGTCTGCAAAAACTATAATCGACATGCAGAATGTTTCTTCTTTCATTATGATAATGTCAAACTTGTGACACATTGCTCTCCTGGTGCCTGTTTGTGCTGCAGTGTCCTCTGTTTTCGGGCTGGAGGGGGATCTGTTCGGGATGGGAATGTGGTCTTTGGGTCTGGGGGCTGTCGGAGCTGCGCTCGCTGGAATCTTCCTGGCCAACACTGATATGTGTCTGCCTAAAGTTTCACAGGCATCGATGGAGCACCTTGAAGAGGCTGACCTGCGCTCCACCATAGATGGTAGGAAGGCTTTCTGATTTGCTCTATGTAATAATGTTACAACCAATACGCTTGTTCTTAAAACCAGCTGTTAAACCCATTGAAGGAGAATTAACATTACATCAGCAGAATCAGAAATTTCCAGTTTTCTGCATTGCACATGCTCTGAATGAGGTTTTGTGCAACATTTAAAGCAAAGCCGCTTTCTGAAATCTGCTGGCCTACAGATTATATCACTGTGAAGGTCTTTGTCTGAAGCCGAAGGGCTAGTAACTGTTATTAATACATATAGACTTTCTGTGCCACCATGGACAATTTGTCTTTTCTCTGTTTGAAGGCTGCATCTTTTATCTTCTTGTGCTTGATTGGATACCTTGTTTTAGGAACAGTTTCTTCTTGTTTTATCTACAGATGATAATGTCATCAAAGCAAAGAGCCTGTGGGACAAGAACGGGGCTGTGGTCATGGCCGTCCGACGTCCTGGATGATTTTTGTGCAGAGAGGTGATATAAAATGTTTCTGAATGACACAGGAGGGTGTGCTGGATGTGTACAGTTTATAAGAATTATATTTTACTTTCTTTTCTAATCTCTCTCTCTCTGTAGGAGGCCTCTGAGCTGTCCTCTCTGAAGTCCCAGCTGGAAGAGCTCGGAGTCCCTCTGGTCGCTGTCGTGAAGGAGAACATCGGCACAGAGATCCAGGACTTCAGACCGCACTTCGCTGGGGAAATCTACATAGATGAAAAGGTAAGCAGTGATAGAAAACATCACCTGTTCCAGAGCCACGGTTAGTACTCACCTTCCTGTCAGTCCATCTAAACTACTTTGCAATTAAAATAGTCTTATTCCTATCTTTTATTTTCATTACATACGTTGTTAGCTAAGCCATTGACATCCACCCTTTGATGGGGAATAGTCTATTAATCATTAGTTATTTGAAATAAAAGTACATGTTGAGAACTAGTTAGAGATCTCTTAACTGTATTCATCTGCCAGGGGCAAGTTGAGAGTTAACAAATGATATGATAAAGCCATTTTAATTTCGTCACACATCACAGGAAATCCTGTATGATAATGAACTTGATCAGGCTGACGGAAAGTTATTTTTGTGATTGCAGCAACACTTCTACGGCCCGCTGCAGAGGAAGATGGGGGGTCTGGGCTTCATTCGCCTCGGGGTGTGGCAGAACTTCATCCGGGCATGGAGGTCTGGTTACCAGGGCAACATGCACGGAGAGGGCTTCATCCTGGGGGGAGTGTTTGTGCTCGGAGCAGGAGATCAGGTGGGTGTAGCAGACATGTGGACCACACAGGGAGATTTGAAATAAAACTGTATTTGAAATGCTTGTTGTGTCTGCAGGGGATTCTCCTGGAACACCGGGAGAAGGAGTTTGGCAACAAAGTGGACACTGCAGATGTTCTGGAGGCTGTTAAGAAAATTGTGCCAGTTAAATAAGTTATTTTTTAAACATTAAACATAGGTGTTTTTAGATCAAAACTAGAAATAAGAATTCGTCCATCACTGAAATAACGACATTTAAGTTTGTGGTGTATAAAGTCACAATATATTTCGTCATTTGCACATTAATTTACTGTTTACTGTTGGTTACGAAAGCAAAGCTGTGAAATTCAGGACAATATTATCACTTATAATTCTTGTTCATCTCTGTGGACACCTAGAAGAAAGTGCGACGGGTATTAAAAACAGGTAGTAAGGGACTTAAAGGCAGCATTTTCATTCAGGTACATCAGCCACTTAAAGACACTTGAAATCTTCCTTTTAGAGGACCACATGAATCAAACTAAGGCTGGGTTGCACATTTGATTAGTTATTTTATTAGTTGCCTGTTAGCGGTACATATCTAACAATGTTCCTGTCACTTTCTCCGTTTGCTTCTCCTGGTCAGGCGCCACAACGGACCTCTAGCATGGCGGACAGGTGTGTGTGCAGCCTGTGTGTGTGATAATGACAACCTGTCTCCAAACTCAACATAGAGAGGAGCAGGTTTGATGCTCAAACACACACCGGCTCAGCCACTGGTGCCATGTTGAGGAGTGTTTGTGCTGCCTGGAGCGTGTGTGTGTGACAGAGAGTGGGAAATTAAACTCCAGAAAATGAAAGTAATAAATAAAGACCTCATCACAGTATTTCACCTGTGCCCCTGTGTGTTTCATTATTTGAATATTTAAAATGAATGTTTGGGCAACGCATGACCAACTTACCTATATGTCAGTAAAACATTCTTCGAACTCTAGTAAATATATTTTTTATCTAACATTTGGACAATGAAAACACAGATAATTGGATTTTCTGGCAGGTATATTTAAATGTGTGTGTTAACTTACTGTATACCAGAGACACTTGTTTGCTGTTATAAATTAGAACACTGTTGTGTGTCTGCATCCACCATTGGTATGGTATTATGTATTTGTATACATTTACTTTTTCAGATATTAGAAATGTGCATTTTGACAAATAATTTGACTACTACAGTTTATTCAGATTTTAAATTGTTCTAAATTAAAGCCTTCCTACTTATTATACATTTTTTACGAGATACCAGTCTGACTTATATCTTATCACATCTATCTATTATTCATTAACATACACACTCCCTTTTTCCTGAAGTTTGATGATCCTGTCGCTTATTAATCAATCCTGTGTGTTGTCCTGTAGCACTAAATATACAGTGAAACAACTTCAATTAAGAAAAACACCAGTTTGTTCACATCCTTCTGGTAAATACATGTAATAGTTATATTATAAAATAATAGTCCCAAACAGAATATCTACATACTATTCTAAAAACCAAGGCTTATTTTCTGTTGAAAGCTCAGGATGCGTCCCAACATGTTAGTAAACATTCACCGTTAAATTATTTTATCCTCAGAAATCTCAACCGAGGCAAGATTGTACTTAGACGTGCGTGTGCGTGTGCGTGCGTGCGTGTGTGGCCAAAACTTACTGTACCAATTCAGATGACTGTCTCAGTGTAATCTTTCTTTATCTGATTGCTTTATACTTGACTGGCATTTGAACAAACAAACCTTATCAGATCCAAACTGGGTGTTCCACTCTTTACTTTTCTGTTTCCCCACAAGCAGGATAACATTAAAGAACATTTGTAATATACAATGTTTAATAAAGTCAAATCAGCAGACAGGTTTGGACTTTAACGTTATATGTTTTATTCTATTGCTCTGAGTAAAATACATTCCACATCATGGAAATATATATTTCAACACAATACAAAATAGAGAGAGAAAGCACGGCACCAATACTGACAGGACTACATGTGGAAGTTTATGTACATGAAACAACCAAAACATTCAAGGAATGTAACAATAACAGATTGTCTTTCCATCGAGCCTTCAGTATGCAAAGATTCAACATTTTCTTCATGGCAAACACAACCAAAGTTATAAATGAGTGGGTTTTCAACCAGTGTGACAGCATTAACTTGTGCTATCTTGTTTGTTATGAGATGTTATTGTAATGGCTGTAACATCGAAGCCAAAACCAGGACTTTTAACTAAAATGTGTGTTGGCATTTATTTTAGATGCTATTTGTTAACGTTGCAATGATTTTGTAAGATTTGGTGGGTTACACTGATCAAGTTGAGGACCCATTCTAATAAGAAATCAAATGGAAAACATGTTTTTGCAGCAGAAAGTCTGGCAAAAGGTCCGTAAGTTAAAGCTGAAACATAAATATTCAAAGCTACACCCTTCTGCTCCTCATTCCTCCACAATCCATACCCGTCTCATCTTTGGCTAGATCCATTAGTGCGACACGTTACGGTGGTACGATACAGGCCGAAGCTGAGATGTTTACAAATGTATTTAAATGGTAAAAACCTTCAGTTTTGTTCTTGACGCTTTTGTGCCGTAATTCAAAGAAAAGAAAAACACAAAAGGAAATAAAGCACAAGCTAAAGCTACTTGGTTATGAGCAATGAAATCTGCCAGACAATGACTGAATTACTAATTAGCAGTAACCATAGTTCATTCTACATCGTCCAGCACCATTAACAAATACAATCAACATTACACATTTTAAATAGCAATACAAATCCCAGCACAGCAAAGGTTATAGTGCCGTTTCACCCTCAGCAGGAAAACACCCCAAACACAACACACAACTATCTCTTAATGATGCAGCCATGGTATCGAATGTTTGAATACAGTCGTGAATCTAACTCTGAAACACTGTCCGGCAGTGCGTGTGATCATGTCTCAGTGTTACAGAAACAGTTATCTATTATCTGGGGTAATGAGTGTTTGTTTTTGAATGAAAATGGAGAGTTCAAAGAAACATTTCCTTTTCAAATTAGACATCCATCTTTTTCAAAAATAATACAATAATTCTCCTAAAGAAGTGAGTAGTCATATCAAGACGGTATTTCAGGATAGGGTCTGTGGGTTTATAAAATGATCCGATAGCACTTTGGGATTAAACCCTTGAATCACATATAAACACAATCATTGTGCGGATGCTTCAGGACAGTGCCCACAATCAGTTTACTTTAAATACATCACTGTAACACTTTTTTAGAAACCAGTGACTACAGGTGCTTAATGGAGGTGAATTTACGTGTGAAAAGGCCTGTACAATCTTCATGTTGGGTATAGTTTTACACAAAACACCACTTTACATAAACAATGAATCATAGTTTTAAATCTATGACTGTGTACACGGTATCAAGTTAATTCCCACTAGAGGAGAGCCCCTCTAATCTGAAAACTCATAAGCCCTAAAAGGTGCACTCGCTCTAATGAGTTTGCAGCAAACCCCTTTCTGTTCTCCGTTAATACGAGCAGCTGACATTGTTTCCGATGCATATGTGTTGCCATCTGGTGGATTCACTAACAGAGGCTCACCTTAAAGTTAAAATCTCTTATATTCCTCGTGCATATGTGCTCCATATATTGTACATCATATATATATATATATATATTTAGAAATATATCCAAAAAAATATGTATTTTTGCATAATCCAACAGACGACACTGGGATAAATTCATGTGACATCTACTCACGTACACCATCACTATCTCACCACACAGTTAAACTCAGCCAATCTATCCACTGCAACAAAGCAACAACAAACACTGTGCTCCGTATTTTGATTTTGTCCAACAACAACAACAGCCATTTCCATTTGGTACAATGGGTCATCAATGGCTCCAGTGCTAACAACACTTTCGCACATGGCTGGCTAGCGGTTGCACATATAGAACCTGCATCACCGAAGGAGGAACTGAAATGAAAGAGCTTCCTCCGACCTGCTCACTCAGCGCTTCAGCTCCAGTGTGGCCGAAACAGCAGAACATTGTTGTCTGTCTTCTGCGTGTGGCTGTGCTTAGAACACACAAGTCACATCATTTCATCTTAGCAACAACATTGAAGAAGAAGATTGAAGATTCAACTTATTGTCATTACGTAGTACAGGTACGATGTAACAAAATGGTTTCTCTGCATTTGACCCATCCTAGTGTTAGGAGCAGTGGGTTGCCATTATGTACGGCGCCCGGGGATGTAGACACATTACAAACAATATTCCCCCACCTGACACAACCACCAAACAAGCACCACCACCTACAACAATAACATATTTCATTAATATGACCTTAAAGATAGCAAGTGATCTCAAACAACAGAAGGCTGTCACTGCCATGGCAAGTGTTCATTTATGTTGATAAAAAGCACACGCACTAATGGTTTCACTGATGTCCTTTACGGCTGTGCTTTGAGGGCTTTTGCAATATCATTTCAATGTTTCTTCTCCACCTTATTACCTGATCTATTATCACAAAGGGGTATAAGTACACTTAAAGGAGAAATGAAGAGAGTAAGCTGCTCCGGTTAACAAGGAGTACAACAAAAAGACTATTCAGAGCTAATAAACATTGTTTTTTCTAGTATGGCCACATGGTTGAACTACAAGGTGGAAATTAATTGGTGGCAAGAATCTATACATACTAGTCAGTGTAGTATACTATTTTCAAAAACAGAATATTGTATCTCTGGCTAGAAAATAATTGGAAAGTGGATAACTAAATGTAGGGAGACCAACCAAACGCCTATATCAGCACAACAATTTAGCAAAGTACTTAAAACATGGACGAATCTAAATGCAACATATACATATTGGTGAGTGAAAAACAAATCGGTAACTTCATGAAATGACCCCCTAAAGGCAGTTTTGACCAAAGGAAGGAATACAATACAATAAAAACGGTTCATTCTTTCATTTGTAAGGAGTGTCATCTATGTACAGAGCAATGTTAGTGTTGTTGTTTTATACCTTCAATATTCTCAACGCCTTAACCCTGCAATGTCAAACTTGGAGCAGCTCTGTCAAATTCGAAAATATTGTACATACAAAAAAAACTAAAAAGGAACATAAATACATTTTGTTTTACCCTCCCACTTGTGCCCTTGGGATAACAGACGTGTGTGTAAATGTGCAAGTGTGTGTGTGTGTGTGTGTGTGTGTGTGTGTGTGTGTGTGTGTGTGTGTGTGTGTGTGTGTGTGTGTGTGTGTGTGTGTGTGTGTGTGTGTGTGTGTGTGTGTGTGTGTGTGTGTCTCTGCAGTGTGTGGAGATATGTTGTGAGATCCTACAGGCCCTTGTTGAAGAAAACGGTGGTGGTCTTGGGACTGGTCTCTCGTATCCTCTCCTGCAGATCTGCTTCCAGCCCGCTCACACTCATAGAGCTACAATGAGATGGTTCAACATGATTAAAAGTCCTTCTACACGTAAGATAACACGGCTTGTACATGTATAAGCTCCTTGATGTGGGTGCTTACCTTTTCTGTGGGAAGAGGGCGCAGCACAGAGGAGTTGCAAACACCAGGCTGAAAACAAGACACGGGAAGGACGTGTTTAGTCAGTGTGACTTGCATATTTTAAAGTACAGAGAATAGAGTCCATCAATAATGACATCATAAATAATATATATGTAATTGACTTACCATAGACCGACGAGGCCAACCTGGATAGGAGCGTTTAGAAGTGGGAACCGCTGCAGGGAGAGTACAGATGTTTAGAGAAGATTGCAGTGAATCAGACAACTTGAACATTTGATATGTTTGACTACATGGACATAAGCATTCATGTAACATGTGGAATGTGACATGACTCTTTTCAGCCTCACAAAAACAGCAGATCCAGGACATCCACTTACTAAAAAACAACAAAAGTCTTAAAGTCATGCATGCTTACCTTCATGAAAGCTTTCTTCTCCAGGGAATTCATAATCACAGGGGGAATGGCTGTAGAAAAAAAGAAAAGAAAATTGGTTGATTCATAATCCAACAAATTGACCCTGCAGTTATGAAAGTTGTTAAATAATAATATATCTTATACAAGTACAACAAAATAAATCATAATATTCCCTTACCAAAAGAAAAAATGGGGTGTAATCTAAAGCGTGACCTTATTGTGCCAACATAAAAATAACGCAAAACAAACTTAAAAAACATTATCTAACTAAGAGTAAAACTAAAAAAGAGTATGCTTTGGTGTGCGTCTATCAAGGTAATAATTTATTTTCAATCAATAAATGATATAGCCCAATATCACACATTTTACATTTGTCTAAGGGGACAGTTTAAACAGAATACGACACCCTCTGTCCTTGGACCCTCACATGGGGGAAAATGGAAGAAACCTCGGGGAGAGCAACAGAGGAGGGATCCCTCTCCCACGAGACAGACGTGCAATAGATGTCGTGTGTATGTCGTTTTACTCTCATCCCATCAACTACCATCATGTCTTAGATCCACAAGTAGGTTAATGACTAGCAAAAACAGGAGACATCATGTTGACTTTACCCATTGCTGGCACTGCCATGCCGATCCTTGACACCACCACCTGCATGATGGCCTGCTTGGCGGCATTGGGGGACTCTCCTAACCTGTTCCCATTCTCATCCATCACAGGGATACCGAACTTCAACTCCCTGGAAGAAAACAGAAGTCATATAGAGCAGTTGTAGCGGCTCCTAAAAGCTCCTGCCCTGAGGGAACAGAGCAGAGGTCTTTGGCTTTACATGTGGAGATATCACCTCTGCCTCATGAAGGGGATGTTGATGCAGTTAGCAGCAGCAACCGCAGCGAAGGGGACAAACCGGCTGGCGATTGGAGGGAGACGCTGCAGAGGCAGGAACAGAAACACATTCAGACAACTGATCCCTGCACAAATATCCGTTATATGAGTGACTTTGATATATTTGATCTGTTGATTCACTTGAACTACAGGCATTACCGAAGCTAGGGTTTTGAATCCCAAGGCAGTGACTACAGCTCCAGTAGTAGCGCTGATGTAGGCCACACCAAGCTGACTGTGGAGAGACAGATAAGATGCAGATCAGAGATAAATTACCCACTTCCTTTTTCAACATTTCAACACATGATAAATAGGTCTGTGGCTGTGAATCGACTGACACATTTCCAAAGTAGAGTCGCCTCAGTAAGTGTGCAAGTTCATGCTATGCTTGAATATGCAAAGGTAAATAAATTCCCCAGAAAAAAATTATAATGCAGAGGATGACACTTTAACATGTATCCTAAATGACATGCTTAATACATGAATATGTATTTGCATGTCCTCTATTCTTCATACATGCATGCATTTGATGTATTTCTGCAGAGTCTGAAGGATGCAGTTTGTGGCACAATGACAAGAGTATGCAAGTGCATTTTGACTTGGCATCATGTCAGCACGGGTGCATGGTGACATGGGGCTGAACATGCTAAACAGTGGAACGTAATACCGCTGTGAGGGAAGGGGAGAGGGCAGCGGCTCCCACAGCCTCCTTACAGACACTACTTTAGAGGAAGGACAGGAATGATCTAGAGTGAGAGAAGTCCTCCCTACTTCACGCTCATTGGTGCGTCTCCGCTGCGGTTGGTGTAGTTGACGACGGCGTTGAAGGACTGGTTGACCCACTGCCAGAACACCACTGCCGGAGTAGTCCTGTAAACAAGAAGAGACAACAACTGTGTTTGAGGAAGTGACATTTCACACAAGACTACACTTTGGGCTCCGCAGCAGAAGAGTTTGATTTCAACTTAAATACTGTCTTTGTAGAAAATACAGGCAAAAATATCTGACCGTCTACCATTTTTGGTTGCAACTAAGGGTTACTTCAAGAATAGTTTGCGATTATTTCTATTTTGTTGACCAATCGATAGTCACCTTTTATGTGTGTGGTTCTCAAATCCCCACAGTGGAAAGAATGTAGGTCATTTACTATAAGTAGCAAACTGCATGTTTTCTCAATAATAACTTATTTCGGACTTCAACTAGAAATGATTTACATCAGTCAACCTAACAGTTTTGTGCTGGTATGCATGAGATAAAGATCAAGACACGTGTTAATGGAGCATGGTTAACCACAACAACACGTCGCCAGACATGGGGGTTTACTACTTCTTGTTTTGTGTCACGAGGCACAAGTTCCTCTGAAAAGCCACTATTTATAACATTTAAATGTCAGACTTTGCCGCCCTCGAGTTGCAGTATGCTAGAATTAAATCTGGAATTACTATATATGAATAATTAATACATTCAATAATAATTAAATGCAGAAAAAACAATATATTATTGTAATAACAGGCTGGTTATTTATATTATGTGTTTTCAACATTACAACTTGACTCCACAGTCCTCTCAGCTGCCCAATATTTATTCATAAGTGTTCAGCAGTGAGAGTGATATTTTTTATTCTTTAAGAGAATTTTCCCTCGGTGCAGGGATTCAAATCTCTACTTTATGCAGTGCTGTTAGCTGTATTAAGATTACTTTGGTTTCACATGGAAACTGTATTAAATGTATTAAGTATTTCCTCAATATATATATTTCTTCCATTTTCAAAATGTTGTTGTGATGAAGATATGTTCAGTTATTTAGAATACATTGAATTGTGTATTGAACTTTCTGCTTTACCTGTAGAAGGTGAGCATGGAGCCGGTGATGGACATGTTCACTGGCACCTGAGCGGACATCCGGCCAATCACAAACATCTTCTCCCCGGTGTCGGGGTGGAAGGCGGAGTCGTAGATGTACTTGGCTCTCCAGAGCTCATCCTCTGTCAGGCCAGGCTTCACCACCCCGGATCTGAAAAAGTCAATACAGAGTATTATTTAGTATTTTCCACATAAAGCATTGGTCATTACACAAACACAGCATTTTCTTCTTGCATTGAAAAACAAAGCTACAACATAAGACAAGCAAGAATCCCCACATCACAAATAGACTTGTACATGTACAGTATAGAGAAAAAAAGGAAGAACACATATTTTGTTACTTAGAATATGATTTGAATGGTTGTTACATAGGATTATTTTATTTCACTCCTACTCTACCCTTATATCTTATTACCATCTACCTGTAGTTCTCCATGGTCACTCTGGCGTCCTCCAGAGTGTCCGAGGACAGCAGGACGTTCCTGGGATCTGTCACCATGAAGAAGTGCTTGGCGCGCCCCATGAACGTGCCCTGGTCCCATCTTGGCTCCTTGATGTTTATGTTGAGGGATAGATCTTCAGACATCTTGTCTCTCTTGAATTATTAGCAGACATGTGAATTAGTATTCATACCATGATGTATGTACTGGTTTCACAGGTACATTTAAGTGTAACATTTTGAGAGTAATTCAGAGGAACAATTATTGCCATACAGGGTTTCCAGTTATGCCCTGAACTTCACGGGCTGGTCATGCTTTTAATGATGACACCCAGCCCCACAGGTGAAATCATCATTAAAATAAACAACAACCTTGGATGGAGTTCAGTCTCCTCCACCTCACGCTATTAATAACTCTTCTACGATGCAGCGCTGCATTGAGCTGAAGCCCCCTCCCCCATCACTGAACACAACATACATTTCTGAGCAAATAACCCCAAACTGACTAGTCAACCAGGCTTACCTGCTGTAAGCATGTTCTCCCTCTCAACACATTTAAAATGTAAAAGGACACAGGTAACGGTTGATCATTTACTCCAATTGCTGTTGTCACTGTGTTAAAGGGGGGCTTTTGTCATGGATGATAGGTTCTTTAAAAGCATGTACCAGGTTCAGGCTTGTCTCAAACATATTCTATCAGCTGTGGCTGTTGGGTCAAAATAAAGGATCTACACTGAAAAACAAACTGTGCTGGAAATGTAGGTTAGCACTTATGGTGTTTGAATGTGTTTGACAAACCACTATTTAGGTCTACAACTAACAATGTTTTTAATTATCGACATTCATCTGCCAACTATTACCTTGATTAGTTGAGAAATGTTATCAAAGTGTTAAAAAAAATACGCCACACAAGTTTCTTCAGCTGATTGTGTGAGGAGAGATGGTACTATTAGACGACCAATCAATTGGTTTAAATATACAACACAAATTCAAAACAGCTCTACCTTTACACATTTTCACCAAGTGCACAGGAGACACTCCTCTGGTTGAACACTTACACTCAACTAGTACAGGAATGTACTGTATGTGCTCATTTTGCAGCAGCCCTACAGCTTTAAGCAGATGACCGTCTTTAAAAACATCTGCAATATGCAAATGGTTCTATATAACAAGACACTTCCATAATACATAAAACTGATATGGTGGATTATAGAGACAAAATGTTACTGAACACACTAAAAAGTCCTGGTTGTGTTTCTCCTTACAAATACAATGTAACCTTTCAGTATAAACGCCTAACTAGAAACACATGTATTGCGTCACACTGTGAGGAGATGATGAAATGAATATCGTGACACATTCACTGACAGATGGGATTGGGGAAGTCACGACACGATGCCGGTTGGAGCCTTGCTAACAAGCTAGCAAGGTACCTGATAATACCATTGAAACTCACATAGAGGAGTACAGAAATATCCACTCTTGACTGTGAAACAAAATCAAATCCCTAGAACATCGGGTTCCTAGGTTAAAGGGATTAAACAGGGCCTTCTCAAGGCATCAAAACAAACCATTTCTGTGCTCTCATGGTAAACTAACGTCAAGCTAGCCAGGTAGTTTACAAGCTAACTCATATGCTAACACTTTGAGGAGCGTAACAAGGACACACAGCGAGTCGAAGTGAACGGTGACTTATCCGTATTGTGATTTAAATGTATTAAAGATGTTAATGCAGGCAATACTGAGACGTACCTGGTTTACAGTCGTTGTTTTGCGAAAATGTATGACCTCTCAATAACACAGCTCCACCGGGTGGACCTGTGCTGCTTTCAAGTACATTAAAAAGTATCGTAAAACACAGCTTCACCCAAAATGAGGTATGTAGGAAAGTAGCCCATACTTTTGGTCTGTTTTACGCAATTTAACTACATTTCACCTGTCTTACATCTTTTACAATATCATACTGTACTATATTATTCTGTTTATATTTTATACTGCTTTAGTATAAGTAATCTCAGTCAATACTCTCAGTTTTGTGCTTTAACTTTTTCTTTAATTACTCTTATATGTTTAATTGGAACTGTATTTTGTAAATGTGTTCCAAATAAACATTATTGATTGATAGTAACTATTTAAGTATTATTACTTTATTTTTAATTTACTTTGATTTCATCCCCCTCTATTTTCTACTCTGTTTATCTATATGCTAGTATTTTGTCTTTGTGCTGCTGTAACAACAGCATCTCATCCTTTCTTATAAAGACATACTATGCACATTTTTGGTCAAACATTATTAGAGAAAAATCGTTAAAACACTGTCATATCAGTCCATGTGAGGTTGAGTTCCGGAAATCAGAGCTTCGTACAGGTATTTGAAAGCAGCACCGTGCAGTGAAATACTGGGGGCGTTGTGACGTCTTTGAGGACATGAGCATATGGAAACCCCTGGGCGTGGGAGGGTAGACAACACATGATTGGTTAAAAAGCAGCTGACTGGCTCAAGGTTGTTTTGTACTTTAGCTTTTTCAAAAGTTGTACATTACAGCTACTTTGATTACAAGCGTCTCATTCTAATTTTTAAAAACTATATTTTAGGTATTTATTCTTAGAGCAAGTCAACGTTTTTTTATTTTTTATAATAGTTATTTGTTATGATAGTATTTGAAAGAAATTACCAGAAAAACACAAAAGCATTGAAATAAGGCTGCATACACATCAGGTCTCTGTAACACGATTTTTCTTTCTTAATAGTATAGTCATATATATATTAATATGTATAGTATAATATTTATAGTTATATATTATCTATTTGGAAAAAATACATAGGGCTACTGTATTTGTTCACGCTGGTCTCTCTTTGATGTGCAAATCTTGATGTTTTTTCGAATAAAAACATCAATGTCGTACTTTCCTGTTTCTCTACAGTGTCACTGTTATTAAATATACTGATAATAAATACCCTGGGGTCTCCATATAATCGGATCTACATAGGGTGTGATGGGACACATCTGACCACTGGGTGGGGTTGTTTACCCACCTCACAGACAGGAGTGAAGATCCACAGCTCACTTTGTCCACATACACATCTCTGCAGTTTTACGAGGAAACACTGACTTAATGGACATATTAATAACCTGACGACAAACTGACAGAGACTTGAGGCAGTGTACTGTAACTGTAATATAATTCCTATTGGTGTACTTAATCATCATTACTTCAGCGCTAATGGCTGCACAGCTGCAGAGGCTTATGTAAAAGGCTTAAACCCATAGGACAACAATTGTCACCTGGAGAACTACTGGGGTGGCACTAATCCTCCGGAGGTGTCCGATAATAATGCGTCAGCAAGGCGGACCAATGGACCAACATGGACACACGGCAGGTAACTCTCATACAAATTCACTTTATTTTAACAATATGTCACGATGTTACAGTTTTGTAGCGTTACAAGTTTTGAGGTATTAACAGTTTGGTTTACTGAAACTTCGCAAAAAACAACAAGTATTTCAAAAGTTTAGTTTGTTAGGAATAGATTATAATGACCTGTCAAAGTGTCATTTCAGTGTCTTTTAGACGCTGTCCATGGTGCTGATCGAATCGAAGTTAAATGAGAGATTCTGTTTAAAACGTTTTTATTTTATTTGTATTAAATGTTATTCTATTCAAGGTCCCAGGTTAAAGGTCATTACTTAACCAAAATGAGTTTGTCCCATGAGGTTCTTCTGAGCCCACATTACTCTTCACAGTATATTGTCCTCACAACAGATATCCATTCAATTAAACATGACTCGAGGGGAATCACCATGCACCGCTGACTTCTCTGCAGACAGGCCGGCAGCAGCTGAAGCCGGGGACACAGGCACCGTGAGCTCTATGGAGAGGGATTCAGATGCTGCAAAGGAAACAAGTGGAATATAACAACTTCAAGTAAAGTCAACAGTTCAATCATGGATCAAGGAACTAATTCGCCATTGGTTTTCTTCAGCTGTGTGGAGCTCAGCTTTCAGTTTTTTCATGTTGCATTTTCTCTTTTGGACCTTGGATTATTTTATTAGGCCTTGTGTTTGGTCAGAAAGTGTTTTTAATAAAGATCAAAGATGTTGCCTGGAGCCTTGTAAGTTGCCTGCTCTAGTTTGGACCACCTCAAGTATTTTGTCTTCCACTTTGGACCAGCAAGTGCAAGAAAACTCCAGTTCCCCACCACACTTGTCCTCCTTATCCATACCCTCATCCCAGGCTGCACCTCTTCCATCCTGACAGCAGGCTCCAGATATCCTCCTGTCTGGATGACTAAGGGAAGGATTGCCAGACACATAGCATGGCTCGCTCCCCTCACCCCTCTGGCTGGAGGGAGATGACAAATGGAGGAGGGCACCCCAGTTACAACCATGGTGGCCAGACCGGGGGTTCCCACAGCACACCGCGCTACATGCAGAAGAAACACCACCGCCACAGACGCAGGTCATCCTCCCCGATGGGCCGGGTCATTCTCATCAACTCACCTGTTGATGGTGAGTTCACAGTGCGCATGTTAACCCTCAGGGCTATGTGCCAGATATCTCTTTTAGTTTAGGCAACAAAACGAATTGTTACCATGGTGACACAAAAAAAATGCCACTGGCTTGAGAGGCACACAATTGTCGTTCAGTCAGTCATTCAAGTTTAGAAATGTGTTCCGCCACATGTGTCAGAGAAAGCAAGTGTATCAACAATAATGCAATATATTTTAGAAAGTAGAGCTAGAATGTTTACTTGATTCATTTTTGGTTGAACCATATTCAATTGATTACTTACATCTGCAAAAATATACAGACTTTAGTTTTGAATATGAAAACTTGAAATGAAATGACGAGATGACATTTCTTTATTATTTTCTGAAATGTTAATAGGATAAGTTAAGATTTACTTTTATTGATCCAAATTTGGGAAATTATTTAACAAATATGTTATTGACAAAACAATTCATGACTTAATTGGTCAAATAAATGGCAAATTAACTGATAATTAAAATAATTGTCAGTTGCATCCCTAGTAGACATATATATATATATACCTCAGTGAATCATGGTTGAAAAAAGTCACACTATTTGGAGGAACAATCAATTATTATTTCTATTTTGAGGATTTGGCTTTAAGGTGGTCAAATTTGTATTCACCAAATATTGATGTAATTGAAAATAGTTTTGAAATATTAAACCTGACTTCCTTTTTCTTTGGTGTTGCAGGAGGCGAGGACAGTGAAGACATTCACACAGTGACAGTAGATAAGAGTCCAGATGGGCGGTTGGGGTTCAGTGTCCGTGGGGGGTCTGAACATGGTCTCGGCATATTTGTCAGCAAGGTGGAGGATGACAGCACTGCAGGTTAGTAGAATGTGTGTGTGTGTGTGTGTGTGTGTGTGTGTGTGTGTGTGTGTGTGTGTGTGTGTGTGTGTGTGTGTGTGTGTGTGTGTGTGTGTGTGTGTGTGTGTGTGTGTGTGTGTGTGTGTGTCTGTGTGTGTGTGTCACGCTGACTGCAAGCTTATTTTTAAGTGTGCTTCCCTCTATGCATGTGGTCTTCTGTTTCCTTGTGACATTTACTGTGGTGCATCGTGCTGAGGGCCACCTGTGTCTGCAGAGCAGGCTGGGCTGATGGTGGGCGATAAGCTGGTGGAGGTGAACGGGGTCAGCCTGGAGAGCATCACCATGAGCAGCGCTGTGAAGGTCCTGACGGGCAACAACAGGCTGCGGATGGTGGTGAGACGAGTGGGCAAGATCCCCGGCATCCGCTACTCCAAGGAGAAGACCACATGGTGAGTCTGTTCAGTGCAGGTCGTGTCAATGTGAAGGAGGCTGCCATGAATGATATCTCACATCTAATCTACAATGACATATTTACATCACATTTAAAACTTCAATAAACAGTAGGTCAATATTATGACTGTGCTTTGCTCTGTTACGTAAAGTACAGACTACCTTGTTGTAACCACCACTGAGCTTAGCATGGCCCGTGTTTTGTGAAGTCACTTGACTGCAGCTCACACTGGTTATCTTTCTTTTGGGATATACTGTATCTTGGTTTCATGTGGCAGCGCTGGATGGATTACCCCTGTGACCTTTATGGCTATTTGATTAACCGATACTGACAGGCCTGAGTGCAGGAGAGAAAGAAAAAATGGTGTATTTGAATTTTTTCATGCATGAATATTTGTCATCTCTTACATGTGTGTGTGCAGGGTGGATCTGATTCACCGGCGGATGGTGGTGGAGGAGAGCGGTCGCACACCGTCAGAGACGAGTTCAGACAGCGCTCTCCGCAGGATCGTGCATCTCTTCACCACATCAGATGACTACTGTCTGGGCTTCAACATCAGAGGAGGCAAAGAGTTTGGACTGGGAATTTATGTTTCTAAGTATGAACCATGTGTGGTTTAAAACACATTCTTGTTTTGCACCTGAAGAGTCTATCGGCATCAGACAAACACAATTATTGAGGGTGGTGCCGTGCGTGTGTGAGGAGGAGTAGCTGTAACCCCTCCAAACGTTTTCTAGAGCAAAAAGGAGCACGAGTGACAACATATTTTTCATTAAATCAAAGCAAACATACACCAGTTGGAGCCCATCAAACTGCTATGATAAGCTTGATTAAGACACAAACATACTTACATCACCATTTTTTTTAAAGAATAGTAGAACTATTAGATTAAAGAGTTATACAAGCGGTTAGCTTAGGCTTTTACTTTAAGTTCCCACGTCTTACCTACTGTTCATATTTGACATCTGTATCTGTTTGTCTGTGTTGCTCTTCAGGTTGGACCCGGGTGGGCTTGCAGAACAACATGGCATCAAAATGGGCGATCAAATCCTTGCAGCAAACGGGATCGGTTTTGACGACATCACCC